CACGATAACATATATAACGGAAATTAATAATTTCGATTGACATTTTTTTTAATTATTTATTTATTTATGGCTTCGAATCTTTCGATCATTTTCAATTATATGGATATCTACATTTTAAAAATCCAAAATTTAATCTTATTAATATTCATATACATTATTTTGTATATATTCATGTTATTATTAGTGTTGTTATTATGTGAGTTTACGGGAAACGCGATTCTTTTCTTCCATAACATTTTGTACAGCATTTGACTTTGTTTCTTGTATATTTCGCATTTCCAAAAAATATGGTTTATTGTTTCTTTTCCTTTACCACACAAATTGACAAAATAACTATGAAATTTAGTTTTAAAAGATGATCATTGTTTGAATGTTCAAATTAGAGTATATACAAAAACCGGTTTCAGAATCACATTTCAGAAAACCGGTTTTCGATTTTTATATAGAAAATAAATTTTTGCACGAATATTCTGTAATTTATCCGCAAATTTAGTGAGATTTAGAGCAGTATTTGACTGAATTTATTTATTGTTCAACTTTATAGATAGTAAACAAAATTATTTTAATTTTAATTAGTAGAACTAAAAAATAATAATTTATATTTATTAAATAATTTTGAAAATAATTATTCGTTATTCATGCTTCATTTTCACATATAAGAATAAAAATATTTTTATGATAGTGAAAGGAAAGTTTTCGAATAAATTAAAATAATACATTTTTAAATAAAAAAAAAATAATTAAATAAAAAAAATTAGATACATATTGATACATGCTTGTTAATATCTATTTTAGTTTTCAAAACAATTAAGCATGTAACATGTAATTTTAATTAATTAATTTTAAACATTCTAATTGTTTTTTTGTTTAATAAAGTGTGATTTAAAAGAACTTAGAACGTCTATCGAATTGCTACTTAGACGTGTTAATTGTTTATTCACAAAATTTCCTGAAATAGAAAATACTCTCATACTTGCGAAATTATGCTCAACTTTGCCTATTGATGTAGTTGATTCGCTTTTTTCTTGTAAGATTTGATTTTATGACTAATCCATTGTATTTAAGGATAGTATTTTAGTATTTTTACGTATACAACTGCTCAAATTACTATCGAATTTATTTTTCTCCCAGCTAATAGGTAAATTAATAAAATTATGATTAATCAAAAAAGTGGCACCACCGTACCCAGTCTTTTCTCACATATTTCTACAAATTGTGCGCCCAATAAAGTTATCCCTTTCTTAATCAAATATATTATATTGGGGGTGGTTATTTTTCTACATGTGTAATATGTTTTTGAATATCTGATAATTTATTTACTCATTTTGCAAAATAAGAACAAGTTAAAGCCAGTAAACTAGTTTGTACATTATTATTATTAAAACAAAATTCTATTAATTAAATTTTAAATTTATGTATTTTTCACATTAACCATTAGTAAATTATCTGTTCTCCAATTATTATTTCAATTAAACATCAAATTATTAAACTATATAGAGGATTCACTAATGTTAACTTAGCATTATCAAATTTTTTTGCACATCTTATATATTCAAAAAACTAGAACACAATGATATGCTTACTAGTAAGTTGTTCCAAATTAAATTAGTTCTTTTTCTTAGCTTCGCGTGCTTTTGGGATTTATTAGTGACCTAATTGTAGCAAAAAAGTTCTTTAAGTCTTACGAATTAAGAGAAGCCAAAGGGGGCCATTCGTTTTGTGCGGTGACAGATTGTTTTGAGAATCAAATAAACACTCTCGACCTTGTTCTACTAATAATTTGTTGAGTGATATCTACGTTTTTGTAGGTTTTTCACTTATAATTAAAGCAACATTTTATTCAGTATTGTTAAAATTAAATTTTAATCGACTATCAATTAGTTTCTAATGAAATTATTTATTTGAATTTTTATAATGATCATTATGAACAGGTAAATATTTATCTTAAAAATTAATAAATATTTGTGAAGTAATAACTTTAAATTCAATTTAATACACAAATGCAATTAAACCTATTTATTTATACAGAATTCAAAATTCATACAGACAATATTCTTATTTGAGCAATTATATTGAAAACCAAACCAAATATCACTAGAAATGACACATATCAAACAAACAACTATATGTCTAATGAAATTATTTATTTGAATTTTTATAATGATCATTATGAACAGGTAAATATTTATCTTAAAAATTAATAAATATTTGTGAAGTAATAACTTTAAATTCAATTTAATACACAAATGCAATTAAACCTATTTATTTATACAGAATTCAAAATTCATACAGACAATATTCTTATTTGAGCAATAATATTGAAAACCAAACCAAATATCACTAGAAATGACACATATCAAACAAATATGACTACGTTCAGTAAAACTCACTGATAATTCATCTCTGAGAAATGCGCTTGTTTTGCTATTTTAAACAAATGTATCACCTTTTCCTTTTCGCCTTATAGTCCGGCTAAAAAGGCACAGCCAGGAGACAAAAAGAACCACCATTTTATTCTTTATTTTAAAAAGATTTTATAGGAAAAGAGCTATTCAATCAATGCGATGCAGTTTAATTATTAGGTTGAACAACAAAATTCAAAGGCATAATGTACAAAAAAATAATTCCTACTTAATAATAATAACTCCTACTACTTCATACATCTTGCTTTGGTAGTTATTTTTGTTTAATTTAGAATGGGACTAATTGTTTCTTCAAATACAATAATTGTGAATTAAATAAATATAACTTCTGTTTGAAATACATATTTTATGGGCTCATTTTTTTTATAAAGATCGCATCAAAGTTACACATTATTTTTTTTTTACTTTAAAATATTATCGTTACAAAATTCTAGTATTTTTTGAGATATTGATGTTGGACCTTTTTACCCGCAGGCCTCAAAGCTTCGCTCTGCCCTATATCATGTCTTACGTATCCTATTACATATAACATAAGACTATTAGGTGGCAACCCTGTGGTTGCCTATTTTCTTCTTGATAAGATTATTATTAGATATATTGCTAATAGTGATGTGATACTTTTAGTTATTTATTATATTTAGATCAGTATTTTTAAGTGAAAACATATCACTACCATTTGATATCAAGTTGTTTAAGACGGGAATAGAACCTGATTCTATTTGATTATGGGTCACATGTAATACATAGTTGTACACGACAAATAATCATAATCTTCTATATATAAAAATAAGTCGGGTTTTTCTTCCTGACGAAATAACGAACCGATTTCGACAATTTTGCATTCGTTGGAAAGGTCTCGGGCTCCGCAAGGTTTATAGCTAAGAAAATTAGTGATGCATGGCATCGTGCCCTAATGCAAATTCCTGGAACGTCACGCACCGTGATTAAAAATTCGAGTAATGACATTAGTGAGAATCATCAGAATTATGCTTGGTTAAGTCAACGAGCAATTCTTGCCGCAAAGAATAATGATGTACACACACTGAATTTCACCATTCAATCAAAAATTGCTGGCGATTTGGTGACATACCAATGATTCCGACTGGTCTTCCGTTTGACTTCAAACGATTGCAATTTCGCTTAGTGTTTGCAAGATAAATTTCAAATAGATATTTAAAAAATCATTGTTTTTTACATGGGCAGTTGCCTGTTCACGAGTTGGAAAACCATCCGCTTTGTTTGTGTTAACGTCAGACCAAAAAACAAAAAATGTGGTGAAAACTGAGAGAAGTTCAAGTAAAAAACACTTCATTTTTGTAATCGAAATAAATTCATTACTATTGTGTAATAAAATCAAAATTTTCCTTCTCAAACATAAAACAAACAAAAAATTTCTTCATCTTTCTCACGAAACCATTTGGTGGCGAAACGGAGTTCGTCGGGTTCGCTAGTTTATTTATAAAAATTGGCATGAAATTGTTTGCGTATATTTGGTATATTATAGTTCAATTGGAATATGTAGTGTAATTGTAATTATCACAAATTATAATTAACCTCTCGTTGGGTAAGTTGTAGTAATCTCAAAAAATCGAAAATAAAAATTGTTGCATATCTTTACGTTTTAAGGTCTTCTGAACATTTTGGCATACCTTAGAAAAAATTGACGTATGTTTGTATGTGCACGTATGTTTATATGTGCCTGTGTGTGCGCGCGGACACAAAATTCTCGTCCACGGTTTCGGGAATACGCGTCAACCGATTTGAATAATTCAAAAAACATTCGATTCGTATTGATAAGTAGATGTGCCGATTCGTTTTTAGAAAAGCTGGTCGAGTCGTTTCGAAGTTCCGAGGCAAAAAGTGTCAAAAATGGATTTTTTGAGAGAAGGGAGCGTCCGATTCAAAAAACATTTTATTTGTATTGACAAGAAAAACTGATAAGATTTCTGGGAAGGCAAGTAAAGCGGTTTCGGAGATCCAATAAAAAAAGTGAAATTAAAAGCTATTTGGCGGATAAAAATGATCATTAGACATATGCACATCAAATTTTCACATATTTTATAGATATTTTACTAGTAAGAGCAAATTTTGTTCACGTTTTTATGAGTACCGTACCGTACCAATATTTAAACGTTATACTGCGGCGCGTCGCCCACGCGCTTCGATATTTTATTTATACGCAGCTAACGTATTGCGATTGCTTTGGAAAAAAATTAAAAAATTCGAAAATATCTCAAAAAGCTAAATTTATTTAAAAATATTTCATAATCTCAGAAGTTCCAAAAGTTCTAAAAGAAAATTGAATCTTTCTTAAAAATTTTAATCTTTAGTACGGTAAGTACCAGCAAGCACCACTAGTTTAGATGCAATTTACAATTTTATATATGCATTCTGCTAATAAAATTGTTAGTTACATAGAACTTGTATAGTTTCCAATATAACATCTTAATTCAGAAAATAATTAAACTGATTCAGTCTTCTAGTATTTTAGAGTCAAATGATGTAGCCGTAATAAAATTTTAGTGCTTATTTTATTAGTTTCACAAACGTTCTAAATGTAATTAAACTAAGTCTTACCAACTTCAGTCGGCCGTAATCCTGGACGTGCAACTCGTTTTAAAATTTATTCGAATAACTGACCAAACTCTACAAACTATAACTTCGAACACAGGCTGTTTTTGAAATAACAAATTATGATATTCTTTTCCTGATCTGAGATCAAAAGGAAAGTTGAGCAGGTGTCCGCAGACCGCGAGATCAGTAAAAGACGCGCTACCGTTATAGACAGTTGTCAAGGTCGTTCACAAAGTTAAATTTCACTGTCACGATGATCCACCGTTAATAATTAAAGCTTTCACTAAGAAACACAGAACTGTAAATCTTTGGGTACTTGTACACTGACTTAATAAACAACTGAACTAACTGAATGTTGTATATTCACTCTTGTTTCGAGCTGCATTTCTCTTGTTAGAAATTTAATGTATGTGTGTGGCACAATTTTGTTTAGTCAAAGAGCGCTTTGCGTTCCCGACTGTTTTAATGCACGGCAGTGGGGCGTCTAAAAAACGAGGCGCCTTGCAAGCGCTGGCCCACGTCCCGCTTCCCATTCGGACTTCTCTTCAGAGACAATCGTCTCGCTAATAATATCATCGCCTATTGCCGAAGCTTAACTTATGCACATCTCATACACACTTCATAGACAAAATCATACTTGACTTCTTATAGAGGACAAAATCATAGGGTAGGGCGAGGCTAGTTGAGCAAATTTTTACTTAAACGCATGTAGCTCCTCAATGAAAAGTCTCAATAAATTGCTATACAGCTTAATGGATTTGTTGTTTATCGCTTAACAAAAGTATTAATACTAGTTTTTGGTAATAAGTAAAATTTAAAAGCTACAGCTGTTTAAATGCAAAAATTCAAGTATGCTCAATGTACCCCATAGGTGGGGCAAGTTGAGCACTAAGAAAGTATAATGAAATCATAGATTCAATGTCGATTAGTGATGAGATAAAATAAGTTTTTAATAACCAGTTCTATATTTATAGTCTTTATTGTCAGAGAAAACAAAACTTATAGTAATTTACTTTGAATAATTAACCAAAAGTAGAATCAACAAAACAATATCGTATATTAGAAATTATTTTACCATTATATTTAGTATTTTTGTTTAAAACAATTATTTCTTTATATTATTACTAGACTTAGCTTAAATCTTAAAAATAATAATTAATTTCTGAAAGTTAATGGTAATTGTCTTAGTGACAGAACAAGTTTAGCAACTATGCTCAACTAACCCCAACTCGGAATTTCAAAAGGAAAATGAGTTTATAAAAAAAAAAAATGAGAATTATACCCAGAATCTCTGTGCATATTAAAAGTACTAAAATTATATGGAAGAATAACATTTACCTGATTAAAAATAAATAACATTTGACTAAACCAGACAAAAACTCGTGATGAATGACTTTTTTACTTTTTGGTCTCAAAATAAACAAAACGGCCGTGAGCCTCACTCATTTGTCCAGCGGCCACTAGCGATCGCGGGATGTTTATTTCTCCCAAACCTCTATCTTTCCGCCATATAAAGCCTAAACGGACGGTGAATAGTTTTCGAGATATTTCGATTGCTCAATTTGCCCCTATGCTCAACTAGCCCCGCCCTACCCTACTTGACTTCTTATAAATAGCGATGTTATGAAAATATTGCTGTGAGATAATCGTTACATCCTTATCCTTGAACGTATGCTCTTTAAGGTTTGAAATATTTACATCTCCTGATATATCATAATATATTATGATATCGTAATCATAATATATCGTAATCATATATTTGTTAACTTCCCGCAGAGTAGGTTATAGTAATCTCAAAAAATAAAACATGAAAATTTTTGCATATCTTTACGTTCCAAAGGTTTCTGAACATTGTGACATATCTTAGAAAATATGGATGTATGAGTCTGTATCTCTGTGTGTGTGTTTGGATACAAATATTTACAAATGCATTCGATTTGTATTGACGGGGAGACACACTGTTAGTTCCTGGCAAAGGCAGGTCTAGCCGTTTTGAAGATACGAGGCAGAAGCGCAGAAAAAGGCAATTTACGAAGCGTTCGATTTAGATGAATAAAAAATATTTTATTTGTATTGCCGAAATGAAGAACTGATAAAAATTTTGGGAATGCAGATCTAGCGGCTTCGGAGATCTAATAAAAATGTAATAAACGTCATTTGACAGTGAAATATGATTATTAGATATATGCACATCAAATTATCAAAAATTTCATAGTCATTTTAAAAATAAAGAGCTAGCGGTGGCGATATCGGTTAGAGCGTGCGCTAGCAGCAGCTAGTCCCGGGTTTGCTGGTTCGATTCCCGCTCCCGTCATCAGGCAACTTTGATGTCAAATTTCCACTTGAGGTTATAGATGACAATGTAATTTCACATGAAAATCGTCCTTCGTGCACATAGCTGCAACGTAAGAGATAATATCAAAAATATCTCACACATAACAGAATGGTTAATCGATGGATTGCTGGATGAATTGCTGATGGATGAATTGATGAAATACATAAATAATCATAAGTCCTTATCAAACAAACAGATTATAGAACATATAAAAGTTCTGTTTGCTGTTCAAAAACAATAAAAAAATAATAAGAAGAACAAATTTTGATTACATTTCTATGGGTTCCGTACCAATGTTTATCCGTTACACTGTAATACGACGTTTACACGCTTCGATATTTCGTCTATACGCAGCATATAAAAATATATTAAAACATAAAATAAAATTCAAATTTTTCAAATGTCAATTTATAAAAAAAATTCAAAACTTTCAAAAATCTAATTTTTTCAATGTTAAAAAAATTAATCTTTTTAAAAAAAATAATTTTTGGTACGCAAAGTTTCAGCAATATGCACGACGCCATGCACCACTAGTTCTAGAATTGATTGAATTTATTATATTTTTACAATGTTAACATTCCAAGAATAATTTTACTTGCTAGGGATAATTTTCCCGGTGTATTAGTGGTTAGAACTAAAGGATTTTAATCAGAAGTTTTAGGTTTCAATGCCCGTCTTGGACTGCCTGATGTCAAGCAGTAGCGATATCGGTTTTCACTTAAAGATATAAAAAAAATATGTAATATGTTACAAATGCAAATGAAAATATACCTTTTTCGGAAATGCTGCATCAATACTCGTCTGCATCACAGCATAATAAATTAATCTGATAATGATTGGAAAATAGTTTGCCTTGCTATATATGTATATAAAAGAACACGTTGTTTAAGAAGGAAGTACAGCAGCTTACAGGACTCGTCGAAATAAAACAATTCTTATCCATAATAGTCCAACCTATCAAATAAAAATAATTAATTATAACAATAAATAAGTGAACAATAATCTAGTATCTCAATTTCATTAGAATTTCCAAAGAAATAACAATATTTAAGGCTTTAATCCAAATGAATTTTCACTAACATATTTTTATTGTTCATGCAAAAAAGATTTTAATGATATTCATATTTGGTTTGCTTCAGATAACAAAAATACTTCTTCTTGGACTACAATTTTCATTACCAAATATTTTTTAAGTTTAAAATATTTTTCTCCTATGTTCTCATGGAACAAAATGTATTGAAACAGAATTACAAATTGATATGTATTGTACTATACTTTAATATTATATTTTTTTTGAAAATTTATTATCAAATTGTTTTAAAATTACGTTATTATTTCTATTTTGTAATTTTTACATATTTTTATAAATTGTAATTCTTTAATGTAGCACTGCATATGAGTAAAATCAAGACTCGAAACCTTTGCTACCAGAAGGCATTTTTCTTTATTAAACTCTTTTAATTGCCTAAATATTTATATATATAAATCAATCAATCAACCTTAATCATGATTTCTTATGTGTGATATTTTTAATATAAATTTATTGATTGTTCTTCATTTATTTAACTAAACGAGAATGTTATAATTACTGTCGGTACCATAGAAAAATAATTATGACTTGTATTAAAAAAAATCATTCATCTTCATTACCAACTGTCGTAAACAAAACAACTTAAATTTTAATAAATCACTTTTGATATAAATTGTTATACCAAAAATTTAATTATTATAAATTCATGAATAAATTTGTGTTCATTCAGCTATAGTAATATAATTATTGTCATGTCTAGGCATTTAGCTGTCTTTATGCTGTGACATCTTACTAAAAATTAGATTACTATATTATTAATATATCGTACATTAATTTACCTAATAATATATATTACCAAACCAACTAAATATGTTTATAATATCACTGTCACAAATAAAAAGAACTAATTATTAAATTTTTTAATATATTACGGAGATCAAAAAGTCAAATATAATAATAAATATAATAAATAATCCTTATTATAATCAATCTTGATAATGTCTGATCTGTTCATGAATTCGCAAAAAACTAACTCGGAAAAGTACGTTACGTTTCTATTATAGCTACTATTGCACTTATCCAATACATACAACATTTCTAAAGTTTAATTTAATTATTATATTATATAACATACTTATTATTGACTTTGACATACTTAAAATAAAAGAAAAACAAAATTGGAATTCTTAATTTTTTTTTTAAATCGTAACATCAAAATTATGCCAATTTATCAAAATTCGGTTTAGGTAAATTTGAACACATTTTAGCATTATAATATAACATTATAACTGATTTTTAATTCATAAAATTTGAGATGATATTTTGTACTTCATAGAACTTCCAGTAACAAAAAGGGCGACAGCGAAGGATCTGACGAATGCATCCAGCGACTGCTTTCAGAAGTAAATTAATATTGCATAGTCATTCTTGAAAAGATTTCGAAATTAGTAATCTGAATTATTATAAATAATGAAATGAATGAGGTATTAGAATATAGGTACTTTTCTATTGTCGTGTCACATGTACCAAACATCCACCACGTCCATTGCCACGGTAAAATATGTCCGTTTATATTAAATTAAACAATGAAGAGATAATAATTATTTATATGTAAAATGATAATCTAAAATAATGTTGTCAACGAAAAAACAAAAGCAAAAATCAACAAAAAAATGTAAAATTAAAACGTATTTATAAATTTTTTTAAAAAATCTATTGCGTGTTTGGTTCCAAGAACAATGAAGGTAACGATTAAATATATTATGTTTAAGGCTTGATTTTTTTAATTTTCGGCCAATTTGGACAAAAAATATGGAAACGGATGATAATAATGATGAACAGCCTAATCCGGCTATGCGGCAACTGGATGTTTGGGCAAACCTTGTTGGCACGGCAATAGCATTGGCAATGGCTGTTATAGTATACATACGCCGGCGAAAATTGCCCGTTCCCGATTCATTTAGAAAATGGATCGATCCTTTAAAACTGACATTAGATTTTTTAAATGGACAGGAATATGCCGGTCCGGCCATTGAAAACGCTTTCCAAGTAGACCGCGCTCAACTGCAACAAACTCAAGG